GCCAATGCCACAACCGCTGAGCCAAATCAGCCAGGGAAATTTCTTAAATTTAATAACTGTACTAAATATAGATTATGTAAGAGAATATCCTTATTCTTAGGAAATATACACTAAAGTATAAGGGTGAAAAGGTCAAGATGTATATAACTCACTTTCAAATGGTTTGGAAAAAATTGTATATATGTATATGTGTGTGTGGAGAGAGAGAAAGAGAAAAATAAAAACAATTCACAAAAGGTTATATAAGAGACCTCTGCATTATTCTTGCAATATTTCTGTAAGTTTGAAATTACTTCAAAATAAAAATTCAAAAAATTCACCATGAGTTGACCTAATTAAATGTCCTGACATCAATTAGGTAAACAGGAAATGGGGATGAACTCACAGTCTAAATAACACTAAAACAATCTCTGGTAGGGGAGCAAGTCAACTTTTTCCTTTCCTAGGAGCTTTTAGAGCAGTGGTTCTCAACCTTCCTAATGCTGCGACCCTTTAATAGAGTTCCTCATGTCGAGGTGACCCCCAACCATAAAATTATTTTCATTGCTACTTCATAACTGTAATTTTGCTACTGTTATGTCTTTGGTGACCCCTGTGAAAGGGTCGTTCGACCCCAAAAGGGGTCAAGAACTACAGATTAAGAACCACTGTTTTAGAGGAAGGCTATTATCAACATAAATACTATACCAATTCCCACTTTCTGCCTTCCGTTACTGCATGCACACAACCCAGTTTTGTTGACTCTAGCCTGTAGCAATGTCTCCCATTCTCTAAATACCAAAGAGTTCTACAGACCAAATGCAGCCACTGCTCATTTCTTTCCTTATAATGAACCTAAAGAACAGAATGAGTCTTTAAAACTTCTGAAATGAGACTGATTAAGATGCTAACCTTGGCCCAGCCAGTGTGGCTCAGAGGTTGAGCATCAACTTATTAATCAGGAGGTCTCCGGTTTGATTCTCGGTCAGGGCACATGCCCAGTTGCAGGCTTGATCCCCAGTGGGGTGTGTGCAGGCAACAGATGTTCCCCTCATCATTGATGTTTCTATCGCTCTCTCTGAAATCAATAAAAATATATATTTTTAAAAAGATGCTAATCATGCTCTGGCCAGTTTGGCTCAGCGGTTAGAGCATCGGCCCTTGGACCAAAGAGTTGTGGGTTTGAGTCCGGTCAAGGGCATGTGCTTTGGTTATGGTTTGGTCCCAGGCCCTGGTCAGGGTCATGTGGGAGGCAGCCAAACAATGTGTCTCTCTCACAGCGATGATTCTCGCTCTCTCTCTCCCACTCTATCTAAAGAGAAATAGAAAAACGTCCTCAGGTGAGGATTGAAAAAAAAAAAGCGAGCCTGGCCGGTTTGGCTCAGCGGTTAGAGTGTCGGCCTGCGATCCAGAGAGACACGGGTTGAGTTCCCGCTAAGGGCGTGTACCTCGGTTGCAGTTTGTTCCCGGCCCGGTTGGGTCGTGAGGGTGGCAACCACTCAATGTGTCCCTTTCACATCAATGTTTCTCTCTCTCTCTCTTTCTCTTCCTCCCACTCTATCTAAACAAAAAATGGAAAAAATGTCCTCGGGTGAGGATAAAAAAAAGATGCTAATCTTGGGCTCACTTGGGAGTATTAATGAGCCATATTTGGATTCTGGCCACATAAATCCATTTCCCTTGACTACTTTCCCCACCATGCTTCTGTCCAGGTGGGCTGAACCAAGAACTTCTCTTCCTGGGTCAGAGAGAAGCAGGATCCTTTTGTCACCAGGCTCTGGTCACAAAAAGTATTTGGCTATATAAGTAGTAATGAAATATCTTGTATTTCCATTGATGTAGACTTGTACCAGAAAAAAGAGGCAAAGGAAAAAGAAATGCACTTTAAATTCAGAACACAATAAGCTATTAACAAAATCATAGGTCATAGGTCTTTTTTGGAATACATTTATATACTAACATCCACTCCAACTTTCTCTCTTAGAACAATCTTAACCACTACTTAATTGCTTTACTGCCTCACTGTCTTTTTCCACCCTTGAAAATCCTAGGAATACTTTTCCAAAGGAAAAAGGGCATTCTTTTTTTTTTTTTTTTTAATTTTTTATTTATTAATCTGTTTTTGTTACAGATGTTTCTCATTTTTCCCCCATTGATCTCCTCCTCCCCTTCCCCCGCATCCCATTCCCAGCTTTGTTGTCTATGTTCATTGGTCATGCATACATGCATGTAAATTCTGTGGTTTATCTCTTCCCTCACAACACCCCCACCCCCCCCACCGAGGCTTGTCAGCCTGTACCCCACCTCCATGTCTCTGGGTTAATTTTGTTTAGCAGTTTGTTTAGTTCATTATATTCCAGATATAAGTGAGATCATGTGATATTTGTCTTTCTCTGCTTGGCTTGTTTCACTTAGCATAATACTCTCCAGGTCCTTCCATGCTATCTCAAAGGATAAGAGATCTTTCTTTCTTTCTTTTTTATCCTCACCCGAGGACATTTTTTCATTTTTTGTACAGACAGAGTGGGAGGGAGAGAGAGGAAGAGAGAGAGAGGGAAACATCGATGTGAAAGGGACACATCGAGTGGCTGCCACCCGCACGACCAACCAGGGCCGGGGACAAACTGCAACCGAGGTACGTGCCCTTAGCGGGAACCGAACCTGGGTCTCTCCGGACTGCAGGCGGACGCTCTAACCGCTGAGCCAAACCGGCCAGGGCAAGAGATCTTTCTTTCTTAAAGCTGCATAATATTCCATTGTGCACATGTACCACAGCTTTTTAATCCACTCATCTAATGATGGACACTTGGGTTGTTTTCCAGGTCTTAGCTATTGTAAATAGTGCTGCTATGAACATAGGGGTACATATATTCTTTCTGATTGCTGTTTCAGGTGTCTTAGGGTATATTCCTAGAAGTGGGATCACTGGGTCAAATGGCAGTTCAATTTTTAACTTTGTGAGGTAACACCATAGTGTTTTCCACTGTGGCTGCACCAGTCTGCATTCCCACCAGCAGTGTACTAGAGTCCACAACCTCGCCCACACTTGTTGTTTGCTCATGGCATTTTTTTTCCCCCCTCACCTGAGGACATTTTTGCTTAGAGCGAGAGGAAGAGAGAAAGAGAGAAACATCGATGTGAGAGAGACACATCGACTGGTTGCCACCCACATGACCCCAACCGGGGTGGGGACAAACTGCAACCGAGGTACGCAACCCTAGCGGGAACCAAACCCAGGTCTCTCTGGACCGTGGGCCGATGCTCCAACCGCTAAGCCAAACTGGCCAGGGGGGCATTTTTTTTCTTTATTGATTTTTAGAGGGAAAGAGAGAGAGAGAAAAACATCAATGTGAGAGGGACACAATGACTGGTTGCCTCCCACATGACCCCGTCTGGGGCTGGGGACAATCGCAACTGAGGTACGTACCCTTGACCGGAATCAAACCCGCAACTCTTTGGTCTGCGAGCCAACGCTCTAACTGCTGAGCCAAACCAGCCAGGGCGGGGACCACTCTTTTATGAACTTGGGAGTCCACTGGAGGAAATTGAAAGATTTAAATGTAGTAACTTTTAATCAGCTGAGTTATGGCAGTCTGTCATTGGATGACCTATTGCTGTGTAAGGAGGAATCTTTTCTTCCTCCTGATGAGGTAATGTAGTATCATTCCCTGTTGGAAAGGCAAGGTACATTTCTTCCTGTAGGGAGTTAGTACTGTGTGAAGAATGACACATGCATGAGAGTTCTCTCTTCTAGCCCCCCATTCCATTTGTTGTTGTTTTTTTTTTCTTTATTGGTTTTAGAGAAAGAGGAAGGGAGAGGGAGAGAAAGATAGAAACATCAATGAGAGAGAACATCGATTGGTCACCTCCTGCATTCCCCCACAACCTGGGCATGTGATTTGGCCCACAACCTGGGCATGTGTCTTGATCAGGAATCGAACTGGCAACCTCTTGGTGCATGGGTCGATGCCCAACCACTGAGCCATATCGGCTGGACGCCCCCCATTCCACTTTAAATAATATTTCTGTTTATCAATTTTCACAATATCTTATCCTGTGGTATAATTTTAGTCAATTCAGTTCTGAGATGCAAAGACTGACTAATCAAAGGTGGCTATAAATGGACTAAATTGAGCCTCAAGACATCCAAAGCTCTTAAGCAGCTAATGAAATTGCCATGCACTCAGTTACTACCAGGCAGCCAGGGCTAGAGCAGAAGGTAGGGATGGGATAGACAATGCACACAAATAGCAATACCATTCTTCAAACCATCCTAGAACCTCTTTCAGTATACAGGGCATATAACAATTTCCTGAGGTCACATGTGGAAGCTGGGCAGACTTCAAACCAGTGCCCAGCTATCCACTCAAATTCCAAAGCTTCTCAAATCACCAGCCCACTAGACCATAAACTTTATGAGGATAGGAACTGTGTCAGTCTCCTTGAAAATTAGGTCCCTAGCCCGGCCGGTGTGGCTACGTGGCTAAGCATCAACCCATGTACCAGGAGGTAGCCAGTTCAATTCCTGGTCAGGGTACATGCCCAGGTTGTGGGCCAAATCCCCAGTGGGGGCATACAGGAGGTGGCCAATAGATGTTCTCTCTTGCCGATGTTTCTATCTCTCTCTCCCTCTCCCTTCCTCTCTCTCTAAAATCAATAGAAAATAATAATAATAATAATAAAAAAAGATAAGTTCTGGGATCTGATATATAGCATGGTGACTATAGTTAACAATACTGTATTATATACTTGAAAGTTGCTAAGAGAGTAGATCTTAACTGTTCTCATACCACCACCACCCACATACAAATTGTAATTATGTTAGGTGATTAATGTGTTAACTGACCTTATTGTGGTAATCATTTCTCAATATATATGCACATCAAAGCATCATGCTGTTCACTTTAGTCTAACACAATGTTATATGTCAATTATACTACAATAAAGCTGGGGAGCATGAAATAATATGTAATAGTAAATCTCTAAATAAATAAATGATTAGATAGAAAGAACTGCTTTACGGAAATCAAAGATGGGGATGAAATCCAGATGTAATAGTTCACTGGTTCCCAAAGGTCAAGGAGGCTAGGGCACCCTCACAGAGTCCTTTGCAGAATGCGAAGAATATGGTGGAAGAGTCACCTTGACTCAACACCCTCATTGACTCCTTTCCCAAGAAATAGCACTGCAGAGAGACAAATTCAAACCAGTGCTAGAACAGGAATAAATCACAAGTTCTCTCAACTAGGAATTTCAAACTTTTTCTTTATCGTGACCTTTAGAAAGAAATACAATTTACACTGCAACCCAGAACATACACACGTTTCTAATTGAAACAAAAATTTCCCAAAACAATACTTATCCTTATGTGTGATGCACTGATACTTTCTATTCTATTTCATTTTTTTCCCCTTCCTTAATGCCTATATCTTGTACCAGAAAGCAAGAAAGTACTCAAAGGGGTCATATCAAAGGAACAATGGAACTAGTTTGATGGAGTTCTCACTGGCCAAACTTGGAATGACTGAGCACCAAACTAATCATAAATGTAATTAATTATAAAACACGGAATAAATAAATATTCACAAGCCCAAGAAATGGGGGAACCCCTCATTTACCACTATTAGTGGTCATTAAAACTAACTCTTTACTTTGAAAACTGGCGATAAAAGGGAAAGAATTAAGTATTTCCCCTGCCTTTTTACGAGAAACTGTGGTTCATCCTCTAGTGTATGAAGCAAATAATTCCTTACAAAGAATGCCAGCTGCCCTGGCCGGTTTGGCTCAGCGGTTAGAGCACTGGCCTGCAGTCCAGAGAGACCCAGGTTCGGTTCCCGCTAAGGGCACGTACCTCGGTTGCAGTTTGTCCCTGGCCCTGGTTGGTTGTGCAGGTGGCAGCCACTCGATGTGTGCCTTTCACATCAATGTTTCTCTCTCTTTCTCTGTTCCTCTCTCTCCCTCCCACTCTACCTGAACAAAGAATGGAAAAATGTCCTCGGGTGAGGATTAAAAAAAAAAAAAAAGAAGAATGCCAGCTAATAAATGTAGAATGTCAATTAGAACATCATCATTCTGCCCTGGACGAAATGCAGATTCAATTCCAGTCAAGGGCATGTACCTCGGTTGCAGTTCATTCCTGGCCCTGGTCGGGGTGGTGTGGGAGGCAACCAGTTGATGTGTCCCTCTCATGTCGATGTTTCACTCTCTCTTCCGTTTTCCCCCTCCCTCCCACTCTATCTGAAGATAAATAGAAAAAAAAAAAAATCCCTGGGTAAAGATTTAAAAAAAAAGAAAATCATCATTCTACAACCTGTACTGAAATAAATTATTCTGGCAAAAATTCATCAGTGGATGATCATTAGGTAAAAGAATATTAAAGAACAGGATATTCAGAAGATGCCAAATTATTACTTCATAGGTTCCTTACTAACTGCAAAGTGAAAAATAAATTTATTTTACAACAAGGAGATATGGCAGTCGCCACCAGAAGAAAGTAGTCAACCTAATACCACCAATAGTAGGAACAACCTGACAGTATGTGATTCCTGTGATGATGTAATATGAAGTACAGTACACAGTATCACCTAATGAAGTATTCTTGCCAAAAATGTTTAACCTAAGTCAAATTAAGCCTTTAATCCTAAATTCTGTAATACAGGAAATATATGGGAGCCCTGGCTGGTTTGGCTCAGCAGTTAGAGCGTCGGCCCTCGGACCTAGAAGTCACGGGTTCGATTCTGGTGAAGGGCACGTACCTCGGATGTGGTTCATCCCAGGCCCTGGTCAGGGGCGTGTGGGAAGCAGCCAGGTGATGTGTCCCTCTCACGTCAATGTTTCTCTCTCTCCCTCCCACTCTATCTGAAGATAAATAGAAAAATATCCTTGGGTGAGGATTAAAAAATATATATATGGGATAGAGAAACAAGTAAAATGACACCACAATAACAAAGACAAATCCAGAATATAGAACATTCTAAAAATAAATGCCTTGGTGTCTTCAAAAAGTCAATGCCAAGAAAGGGGGAAAGAGTGGAGAAAACTGTGTTAGATTTTAAAAGTCTAAAGAGATATGACTATCTAATGAAATGAGAATTTTGCTTGGCTTTTGGTTTATAAAGCTAACTACAGGTGTAAAAGAAAAAATGGGGACAAATAGGACAATTTTAATATGGACTACATATTAGCTAATATTGGTAAATTATTGTTGCTTCTTAGGTATGACAACGGTACTATAATCATGTTAGGCAATCTCCTTATTTAGGATGCGTAGTGAAATGTTATCATGTCTGCAACTTATTTTCAAATGGTTTATGAAAAACTACACATATATATATAAATAAAGCAAATATGGCTGTTAGAATTTTTATTTTTTTATTATTTTTTTCAGACAGAGTGGGAGGGAGAACGAGAGAGAGAGAGAGAGAGAGAGAGAGAAACATCAGTATGAGAAAGACACATCAACTGGTTGCTTCCCGCACGACTCCAACCAGGGCCGGGGACTGAACTGCAACCAAGGTGCATGCCCTTGACCAGAATCGAACTTGTGACTCCTAGGTCTAAGGGCCGACGCTCTAACTGCTGAGGCAAATGTTAAAAATTTTACTCTAAGTATGGGATGTGGTATGTTTGAAATTTTTCATAATAAAAAACTGAGGAAAAATGCTGTGCAACCCTTTAAAAGGGCATCACAATCCACTAGTGGAATGCAACTTACAGTCTAAAAGATATCACTTGTAGTCCATGATAGGGCAGTCATAATATCTTAGTTCTCACATTATTATCAATTTGAAGCCAGTTTTCTTTTTTTCTTTTTTTAATTGTCTTTCTTAAGAACTGTGATTTTTATTTATTATTATTTGTTTTCATCTTCAAGGATATTTTTCCACGTTTTTGCTCAGATAGAGTGGGAGGGAGAGAGAGGAACAGAGGGAGAGAGAGAGAAACATCAATGCGAGAGGGACACATCGACTGGTTGCCTCCCACATGACCCCAACCAGGGTCCAGGATAAACTGCAACCGAGGTACGTGCCCTTGACCAGAATCGAACCTACGACTCATCGGTCCACAGGCTGATGCTCTAACCGCTTAGCCAAATCGGCCAGGAGTAGAGCCAGTTTCCTTAAACCTGTGTTTGCCCCCAAAAAAGAATGAACCTTCATGAAAATGCTCATGTGGGATAAGGCTTTCTTATTCTTCAACCCCTTGTCAAGAGTCTCCCAAGTTTTATATTTTTTTCTGCAAATGAATAACTTGCTTTATTTGAAAAGTAAGAATAATCTGTAGAAAAACTTCTACTAATGTCATGGAAATTTTATTTGTCCTTTTACTTTTAAAGACTTTTTCCCAATTCAAGGCATATAACATTGAAGTTCTTTGATCCTTTTACTCTACAATTAATGTCCCCAATTACCCTTAGCCCCCAGTTCCCAAGCAGCTTTCTAGGACACCTGGAGGCAAGCTGCATGACTGGCTGCAGAAAAACCCTTGCTCCCATACCACATCTGGCCCTGCCTTTCCACCAAATCAAATGCCAATTTATTGCCCTCTGATATACAGTCTATCAGGCCACTTCCTGGATGCCCCCACTTCACACTGGGCCAAAAATTCAAGGCAATAATATGAGTTCCACAAATGGGCAAGTAATCGCTCAATAAGCATGGAACAAGGAAAGGTCAGTTGTGATGTGTACACATGTGGCAGCCCTTCACAACTCAACCTACAGTAGTATGAGTGGTAACAGAAGGCTGGTGTTACAGAAGAGGCATGCAATGAGAAGCCAGCCAGAAGGCAGCCAGGAGTGCTTGTCCATCTAAGTCCTTCAGGATCTCTCAAGACCAAAGTAAAGAAACAAAGACCGCAAAACTGGTAAGAAGCATCTTATCACCTAGTTTCCAGAAGCAAAATAGAGAGCTGAATGTAGTTACTGCTCTCCATTTACCACCCTTTTTTAATGAGTGATCTGAGCTGAAATTATATAATCTCCATATTGCTGTATACCCAGCTCTACCTTTTAATGGATACCTGGAGAGAAAAGACAAATGCATTCACACTTTCCATAAACATATTCAATATCATTTTAGAAACTGAGGTGACCAATTAAGCACCTATGAACATAAAGAAGTGGTTAGAGGGGGCCAGGCTGAGATAAATAACTCTTTACTATCTCTCCTAATCAAAACCACACATTGAATTTCAAACATTTGGCTTCTTCTGAAACTGTCTTGGCACTTGCCCTGAGTTTGAGTGGGAGAAAAAGAAGAAAGGGACTCTGCCTGCCTCCTTGTTAAAAACAAAGCAGCAGCTGGCTTCTCCTCTTTTTATTCATCTGATTGCTGTCATAGGAAGTTGGGCCTATACCCAGAGAATAATTTCAGGCCTCTTAAGAGGTAGCTGTGCTAAAGAGTACAATGGCAATGACAGCACTACCAGCAACTTTGACACTAACCACAGACGACACTATCACACCATCCCTAACCTCTATTAGAAATTTGAGAGCCAAGCTATTAAGAATGTCCCTTTTTTGGCCCAGCTTGTGTGGCTCAGTAGTTGAGCATTGACCCATACACCAAGAGGTCGCCAGTTCAATTTCCTATCAGGGTACGTGCCCAGACTGTGGGCCAAATCCCCAGTGGGGGTCATGCAGGAGGCAGCCAATTGATGTTCTCTCTCATCGATGCTTCTCTCTCTCTCTCCCTCTCCCTTTCTCTCTAAAAATCAATTAGAAAAAAAAGAATGTCCCTTTTTTTTACAACCCCTTTTCAGATACATGTAGTGAAAAATGTGCCAGCAGACTGGTTCTGTTGGCTACATATGTTTGAGTATTAGGAAGATAAAAGGGAAAGCTGGACCCATAAGAAGCCAGACTATGCAGAGCTGCTTCTTCTCAAGAAAGTCTTCATTGTCTAACCGCAAGGACAAATAAGTTTGGAAGAACTTCTTGGTTTAGAAACATCAAATGAAGAGGGTTCAGATCAGCTGGGGAAGGCCCCAGTAAAAAGAAATGACAAAGTAAAGTTATCAGAATACAGGCCTTTTAAAGATAACTTATTCACATGAATATTCCCTGGGGAAAAAAGAATCACAGTATTTTTATTTTCTCTAACTGTATTGAAATGCCCACAAGTCTGAAGTCAATCAAACTATCAAGATTCTAAGATGCCAAAGTCAGTTAGACGCAAACTCAAGTCATATCCTAATGTGTTGCTCA